TTGGATGCTTTTGGACAGAACAGCATACATTTGTACAATGTAAAGCAATACAGTATGGTATAGTGTCAATATTTTCAAGGAGGTGGACACAAAGATAAGAATACAATATAAAAGACTCACAGTAAGGTTGTAATATTATGCGAAAAACACACACAAAAAAAACCAACAGCTGTCTTACACAACTTATTGATTTATTGCTGGACTGTTGCATTATACAATCCATTTTGCATTGCATTTATTTACTATTCATTTCATTTGTTTTAAATCTGTCTTTGATTTCTATATTTTTGTGTATTAGATGGAGAAACAGAGGAACATAATGTGAGACAAAGCCACCGCTCTGTCAGTCATTAGTGCTGAAATCATAATAGAGTGAAATGGGACTCCGTTTGCATGTCCTGAATGGTGTTCCCTGCAGGGTCTTAACAGAGCTTTCTGTATAGCCTGTGGTGAGTGTGTGTGTGTGTGTGTGTGTGTGTGTGTGTGTGTGTGTGTGTGTGTGTGTGTGTGTGTGTGTGTGTGTGTGTGTGTGTGTGCGTGCGTGCGTGTGTGTGTGTGTGTGTGTGCGTGTGTGTGTGTGTGTGTGTGTGTGTGTGTGTGTGTGTGTGTGTGTGTGTGTGTGCGTGCGTGCGTGTGTGTGTGTGTGTGTGTGTGTGTGTGTGTATGTGTGTGTGTGTTCCAACCCCTAATCCAGTCTCCTGGGACCTCTGTGTATCCGGTTGGTCTTCCTTAGCAGACATGCTGGATGGGATTGGCGCTAGGGTCCTTTATAATCCTCTCCTCATCTGGTAGCTTGTAAAGGAGCTGCCCCTCGAAACCCAAAATGTATGTGTGTGAGTCTTTGTATGTGTATTTGTGTGTGTTCAGTAATGATCCAAACAACAGCTAAATTGTCTTTTGGCCTTATTTTATGTTTTATCGATGATTCCCATCAATTTCCTCTCCTCTCTCTCTCTTTGCTCTCTTCATTTTGGTCAAAGATGTCAGGAACAGAACAGTAGACAGACAGCAAACATGTAAATGTGATGTTTCGAGAGCACACAAGGCTGAGGCTGTTAGGCACTGGAGCTTTCAAGGCCATAAAAAACCGACAGCATATTTCCTCAAATAAGCAGCCGTAGAGTCGTTTTCTCTCCCTCACAAACACATAGACACACACACACGAACACACACTTACACACAGTGTTAATGGCTTCATAATTGTCAGAGGCAGACCATTGAGCATAATCAGGAGTCTGCAGCAAGGCGAAGACCAATTTTTGTAATTTACTATGACAGATAGCACATTTTTATTACCCAGGGGCTGCTGGTTTGTTTTGGTATGCGATAAACCACACTCATCCACGCACTTTATATCTCTCTCAGTTCTCATATTAACACTCTCCTTTTCTTTCTCGTTTTCACTGTCTCGCCGTCTTCCTCCATCTCTCTACTCTCTCTTCCTTACACATACAATGGTTGAACCAAGACGGTGTGCAACCTTAGGGTCAGTAACAATATGCCAAACAGACACAGAGTCAGGGGGGGGGGGGGGGAATTCAGCTCATCTCAGAAAATCACAGGTTCACACTCAGACTCAGACACATCACTTAGCCTGCATATGTTGTACACCACCCATCACTTATCAATTACATATCTCAGAAGAGTTAAGATGGTGTAGGGGTGAGATTGTAAATAGGTTTTGTGCCAAATGTTTGTCGTTGTGTTTTTCCCCCCTAAATTGTATTGCTTTAAAGAGTATACAACAATTTAACATTTGTTCTAATATTTTTGGACTCATGATGGACAGTTTAAAACTAAAACGTTCTTGTTGCTTGTCAAATGTAGGCAACATTACTATTACTTAAACTGCTAGCTTAATCAATAAAATGTGCAGTCTTTTCCAACTCCAAACCCAAGGATTTTAATTGTCCTACTTTTAGTGACATTATTTTTAATAATTTATCAGATCTATATCATTTTATGCAGCTTCCTTTGGAGTCACACTACGCTTTATAAAACCTTTTCATATAGCTAGGGGATGTTCCATTACCTCTCAACAGATTATTTATCTTTTTAATAGGTGGTTTTTCCTAATACCAGATGCTGGCATACATGTACATTACAGTATATCATGTCACTGCTATTAATTTAGATTTGGCAGCAATTTAAGCATGATGTGAAGGCGACCTAAGCAAATACAAATCACTTCAGTCTCTGAGTGATTGCTTTGAATGTTTAAGTATCAAATAACTATGACTAAAACATTACATTACTTTAAGTGGGGGCAGCATTTATAATTAAAAAGCTCACTTGTACAGTAAGCTCAAATTTAGGCTACCATTGTATGAATCACCAAAAGAGTTTCTCATTCAAACCCGGCCTGTTCAATACACTGACATGACATTTTATAAATATCTTGTTTTCCCAGCGTGAAGCTTTGACAGAAAATTACTCATGTCCAAAACAGTGATTTAAACTGTCACCAGCCATTAGAATAACTCACGTAAATTATTAAATTAAGCGGTTCTGCACTCTGACGCAGAACTTTAAAATGTCAGTGATTCATACTTTAAATGAAGTGGATGCTGTGTGCTGCCCAGTAGTCAGTTTGGGAGGATTGGAAATAGCTGGCAATCAGAACTGAGAAACTGTGTGTGTGTGTGTTTGTCAGTGTTAACAAGAGAGACAAATAGGACACACAAATAGGAACAGAGAGAGAGAGAGAGAGAGCAAGAGAGAGAGAGAGAGAGAGAGAGAGAGAGAGAGAGAGAGAGAGAGAGAGAGAGAGAGAGAGATTAGATCGATAGAGAGAGAGATGAGATGCGATAGATTAGATGGAGATGAGGAGAGGGAGAGGGAGAAGCAGGTGCATCACTAATGGCTTTTTAAAAAGGTTACAGCGTAGAGCTCTTATTTTCTAATGGGGCTCCGGCTGTGCTTGAGAAGCAATTTCCGGAAAAGATAATGTTGTCGAGAGAGTGCAGAGAGTTGTCTGCTTGAGTGTGTGTGTGTGTGTGTGTGTGTGTGTGTGTGTGTGTGTGCCTTGTCATTAACGAGACTGACAAACACAAACTCAAAGGAACACAAAGAGGGGGCGGAGACACACTGAGGGCAATTAAAGAGAGAGAGGGAGACAGAAATTGCCTCTGTCTACATTTCAAAGTAATTGTGCCATTACATTACATTTATTAGCTTGATGACTAATGTCTAATGTGGGCCAGCAGAGGTCTTGTGTGAAAAAACATTTTAAAATCCTCTTTTCTCTTTTAGCATATTTTTACATTCCTAATGGGCCATTTGCTTTCATAAATATTAAAACTGGGTAATGCTAAAAAGCCTCTCTCAGGTTTCCCGGGTCAGGTTAGCACGGTCAGCAGTGCCCCCTGGTGTCCACTGCACCTTACTACAACTCAACACAAACATGTCTGCAGTACATCCACAGCCACCTGTCATTTGTAAGTTGTTATGGTAGCCTAAATTGTTCAGAGCTCTCCATTACCAAATGTACTGAAAATACATAATTATGAGGCATAAAAAAACGGATTACTATGTTCTATGGTATTATGTATTTTCTATTGAGGATTTGTAAGTACTTGCTGCTACAGTAGGTTCAATTTGTATTTGTATTACATTTGTATCTTATTGTATATTTACATTTTTGTTTACTTGTGTAATGCTTGACACTGCTGCTGGAACAAAAATTATTTCCAAATTTGGGATTAATAAAGAATACATATATCTATCTATCTACAATTACTATGTTTTACATCCAGACATTATCTCTAAGAAGAATAATGACCACTAAGGGGCAGTACTTTCCCATTAGTGTGTCTCAGTGCCTGATTCTAGTTTGTTTACATTGGAGAAGTTACACATTAACTATACATAATACATTTGCTCTAGTTTTCTGAATGTACTTTGTATTGTAAGTACTAAAGTGAGGATACTGCTTCTATGTTTTATTCTTTCAAAGCCTCAAATCAGAGCTTCAGTCAGTATAATTCTTCCAGCTTAGAAGAAAGAAGAATCTATAACATGTCATAGAAAGCAAAGCCAACGTGTGAATAGGACAATTAATGCTGGCGGAATCTCCACGCTTCACACTGTCATGACTTACTGGGACACACACTTGTGATTTCATTTATTGTGGTTAATTAGAAATCTGCTCAGGTTGAGGTATGCCGGAGCTTTGATGGGATAATATAAGGTCACACATCTCCATCTACCAATAACAATGATAAAGGGGAATTTGTCCCACCCTAGGCCCACCAAAGCTAACAGGAGGATCAGGGAGATGTCACTCAATTTCAGTTTATACATGCCCACCCAGTCCTGAGAAGAGGTCTAATAAACAGATTAACTTAAAACACCTGTGAGGTTGTTCACAGAGCCAATCTTAAATTATATTGGATACATATGTGCTTTTCCTTCTGTGACAAGTGAAAATGACTGCTGTGAAAACGGTGTACTGCTCTTAGTCTGATTTGATGTAACAGCAAAAACAAATGAGACTGCTTTAACAGACTTAAGTGAAATATTTAATTCAGGCAGCAATGTGTGGTAATCGCAATTTATTTTGGTAAATAAATACAAAACAGGGACATTTTAACATGAAAATAACATTATTTCGACAGTTATGGTGTTCTCTATATCTCTTCAGTTGTTTACAAAAACTTCTGACTGAAAAGTTTCAATGAAGGTAATCTCGGAGCTATAATGAGCACCTTCTGCTATAACGGGCATTGTTAGGATGCCTTGGCAGGAGTCCTTTGAAGGCCCGCAGTTACACACAACCACAAGTGTGTAATTATAGCAGCTACTTTTGACAGTTTAACTTAAGAAAACAGATTGCCAAATTAACAGTTATGCTGCCATACAATGTGCTCATTATAAACATACACAGAAATCTGAATCAGCACGCGTACACACACACATACAGACACGCGTACACACACACACACACACACACACACACACACACACACACACACACACACACACACACACACACACACACACACACACACACACACACACACACACACACACACACACACACACACACAAGACCATAGCAATTTCTTCTTTATATAGCTCTTCGCACAATCTTCTACTAGAATAACATGCTAGCAGTGTTCTCCTGAGCCACACACACCAGCTGTATGTTGTGAGATCTTGCACACTCCTACACCGCGCTACATTCCTGCTCATGGCCAGGCAACTACACACGTTCCTACAAGACAGCTTCAGATAGTTTCACATTGTTCACACAATTCAAACGTAATGAAAAAGTTGTATATACTGTGTAAAGAAACCTATATACTGTACAAAACTTTACAAAATTCAGAAGTCTTACACACTGGTCTGTGCCATTGGTATCCTAAAGTAATTGTGATGAAAGGATGGGGGGCTGAAGCAGGAAATAACTGGACAGGACGGATAAATGGGAGCATCAACAAGTGATTTTGAAATATTCTTAAAAAACATTAAATATGAAAAGTAAAAGAAGCAAATACAATAACAAGATACTGGTATTTTAAAGGTATAAAAATTACACATATGAAAGTGGTATGGGAGAAATAAAGTGTCAAATCTATGCAAACTAATGCTGTGTTTCCACTGCACGGTACTGTTCTGCTCGACTCGACTAGACTTAAACCTGGTATTAGGTTATTTTTTAAGTCCTTTCAGAAGCAACTCGAAAAAATATCTGCAATTGTAGGGCGCAATTTTGGGCATTTTTTAAATTAGGTTTCTATTGAGGGCAGATTTGGCTATTTAAAAACATGTACCATGTTATGATGATGAGCATGCTCTGACCAATCTGTGGTCTGCATTGTTTGCTTTGATCCTCAGTTTCGGCGGGAGAAAATGTGAGTCTTGTCGAGTAAAGCACTTCTGAAATATGCAATAGAAATGCAGCATTACACAAACAAAGAACTCAAAAAAGAAAAGGCAGTAAGTCAAATGATAAAACCTTCCAAATGTTCCACAGCATGAATGTACAACCTACAGACATTTAGAAACACACACCTGAATAGTAAGTAGATAAAAGATATTTGGAGAGTTGATGGAAATCTAGTCCAGTTCACTTCAAGGATGAATTAACTGATGCCTCAAACAAACATGGTATCACAAGCACAGCTGTAGTGTGTATAAATCTCTCTTCTGTCACTTCACACAATATACAGCAAGAGATCAATCCTAAATCCCCCCATAACAAATAAGATACAACACAGTTCATTGAACACTAAATTGGTTCATCTGTGCCATCATTTACAAAGGTGCTTTCTTCTTCAACTCTTGTTATTTTTGAGGACAGAAATAAAAATCTGTACCATAATACTCCACAGTACCTGCATTTCGATTCCATAAAGGTATGTTTTTTTTAAATGTTGTCCTGTTTTCCACTGTATTGTCCTGAGCGTTGCAAAATAGTCTGATGAGGGCGATCCACCGGTGATTGGACTTTCCTTCGATCCCCAAACTGTCAGTTTTTCTTTAATTTACCAAGTCATCACCAGCCAACAGTCTTTAGAGTCACTGTTGGGTCTTTGTGGAAACCAGGAGAAGGAGTTAGGACACAGTATTGCTTCAACAGCTCTGGCTTTGGCGATTCTTTCATTGGGTCTTCAACACCTGAAAGAAATAGGAGGCCATTGTGGAGGACAAACAGGACAAAACTGGACAGAAGGACATGGATCCGTCAAAGATTGGTCCTTAGCGGATGACAGGTTTCAGCCATGTGCACGTGTCGCTGTTCTGCCTCCTGTGATTGGTGGACCTTCAGACCTGCGTAGATTTGACTCGTCTGAGAGGATGTCGTCCTTCGGGGTGGGCACGGCAGGGCGGGGGGCATTCAGTGGGAAGGTCTAGACTGCGCTGGTGAGGCAACGTCGTGACGGGAGGAGCACATCGGGAGGGGTTGGGGATGGGATTGGCTGATGGTCATGTGATCTCAGAATACGGTAGCCCTGGAGCCTAAGAGGAGGGGAAAGGACAGAGAGAGGATGAGGAGAGAAAGAAGCAAAGAGTATAATATAGGTCAAAACATGTGGGAAGTTAAGCCTGAGGGAATAGAGCAGATCAACTTTACTTGACTGAGACAGTGAGAGACAAGAATACAACATGATGATGTCTAGACAAGAGATAGTACACAACAAAGATATCAGACAGAAATATGCATACATTTGGTTACAATGAAACAACCAATGTTATCACTAAGGACAACAAAAGGAGTCAAAGGCTGATACACAATCAAAAACTGATCTGTAGTCCCACATCCATGTTCTAAAAGGGTCAACTTATCCACAGCGATGCATTGAGTTAAAGTTCATTTTATCATGCTAACATGATAAACATCTAATATATGCATCACTAAACACAGAGTATAGCTGTTTCTGATGGGATTGGTACTAGTTTTCATAAAGAAAAGTATAAATTCTGACTTGAGGATGGCACTAGAAAGGATGAACATAGTAATTGCAATTCATTCGATGGGGGACATGAATTTCTGTCGAAATATTTCACTCAAAAGCTTGAATTATTAACTACATGGTAGCGCTAGGTGAAATTCATACTTAAAAGGTGTTTATGATGTTCTTTTAACTTTTACCATGGTTAACACACATCATATTTGTGTATGTTTCATTATATACAGCCAAAAAGGTATGGAAAATTAGTAATTTGATTGGCTGTCGCTCCTATCAATGTTTGTTCTTGATTTGCTGAGAGCTTTGTGATTTCTCCTTCCTCACCCCTATGGTTAAACATGATTATCTTATCACCATCAGATGTACGGCAGCTGTGTGGCCTACATTACATATATTAATAGATATCTACTTAATCAATGTTTCTCCATCAAGTTTTCCCCATCCCTTACCTGGAGGCCACTTAACTTTTCGAGTGGACTCTCCACGCGGGGCAGGCTGAGAAGAGGGATGCCGATCGGGGGCTCTGGACGCTGATGTGGTGGGGGACTCGGCATGGATATTTGGGTTTGCTCGAAATTGTTGATCACACATGACACCTGATGGAGAGCATAGAAAAGAAAAAAGATATTGAGAGATCCACTCCACTGCACTTTGAAGATGGATGATCTGGTGCCTGAAATGCCTAGAGTGTGCCTGGTAACAGATACTGAAGAGGACACTTACAGAAAAGTCATATATTTAAAATAAGACAAAGAATGAAATATGGGAGGAGGCATGGAAAGAAAGGGATGAACCAAAGTGAGATCTTTGATCTTTAAAATTAACATCGACCTGATAAGTTTTGCCAGAAAAATTGATTGAGGCTGAGAGGTCCAAAGACCAAATTACACTGTTTAAATCAGCCATAAAGATCCAGATCAGTCCATTCACATTCATAGATGTGATAGTGTGTGTGATTCCTCTATCACACAGGCAGTAGTGCTCTTTCAAGCTCGCTTTATTCATCAGTTCATCCTCCCACCATCTCTCCTGCACCCACATCACACCAACACACTGCTCTCTCTCTGCATTCTTCCCTCCTCTCTCCATCGTCATACTATCCTGCCATAAAAGGACAAAACACATTAACTATATCAAATTTAGCAAAAGTAGAGATGAGGGTTTGACCTATTACCGTCTGCTTTTCCATCATAAACACATTATGTCACAGAAAGGTATATCTTAATGAGAACAGCATGATAAGATGGCATCCATTTCTTCTTTCCCTCTTCATATCCCCTCCCTCTCCTTACCAGGAAGGCAGCGATGGCCCCTCCGGTGACAAACCCAGCCAGGACATCGTTCCAGTGGTTCCTGTGTTCAGTCACCCTCACCACCCCCACCAGCACGGCCAGGGACAGCAGCACCAGGCACAGGGTGGGCTTAGTCAGGCGTGTCCCTTTGGTCCGGAACACCAGGGTCACATACATCTGGAAGAGATACAATCAAATAATGAGTAATACAATAAAGAATATCATATTATCTTTCCACTGTGGGCTGAACCGTCTTGGCTACATGTCTTCAGTCAGCTAGCTGAGATAATTCAAAAGGGGAACAGCTTGAAGAAGCCACAAGAGGCCGCAGTCTGCAGTGAATCACAGCAGCTGAAGGGTTTGAGGAGAGGTACAAAAGAAAGCAACATCAAAACCACTGCCATGTTTGGTTAAATGCTTTGATAAAATGACAGAAACATGACACTGCAATTAACTGAAGAACAGTAGCAGTACTTTAATCATTAATAAATGATGTAATAATAGAGACTCACATGCACGTTTTACCAGAAGGAAATTACATGTCTTCATCAGTTGTTAAATCAGTTATAAGAAAAACCTTTGGACTGTGTTGTTGTGCTTCATTTCAGCCAACATGGTTTTAGTTAAGTTATTTTTTTAAATATTGATATAAAAAGGCATTAGGTAATTATTTATGAACCATTAAGAATCCCTTCATTACAGCTTGTAATTTATAAACGTTTCAATATAATGAAGCATTACCAAAACATGTTTTTTTAGCTATTTTACGTCTGCTATAGTGAAATCTTAGCATAAAAAATATCCCGAAAGTGGCAGACTTTATAGTATTTGTTTGTCATCAACATACATAGCATCATCCTTCCTCCCCTGTCACCCATAGCCCCCTCAAAGACCCCTACCACTGTGTAGATGGCTGAGTAAAAGCTGAGCGCTGCGTCTTTGGAGGGGAAGGATTTGCGGGCGGACGCCACCAGGTAAGGGTTTCCTGTGCAGGCTCTGCGCTCTGCGATGTAATGCAGCGGAGACTGGCAGCCCAGAGCTGTGTAGTTTGGCTTGCAGGCGGACAGGAAGTGAGGCGTCTGGTTTCCTGTCACCACTTGACCTGCGTTGGCAAAGATGGTGGTGGTGAAGAGGCCGAAGGAGTAGACACCTGTGTAAAAAGAAAAGGAAGAGGGACAAAGTTAGAAAGTGGTAGGGTGTGTGTGTCTGTGTGTCAAAGCTCAAAATAAAAGAAACAATGAGACTGATGACAGTCAGAAACAAGAACTAAAATGAAAATTGAAATGTTACGCTGACTGCAAACTGTGTGGGAGTGAAAGGCCAGACAGACATAGCCTTTGCTTTTACGCTCCATATCTAGAGCCATCACTTTAAAAGATTCATGACTTAGATAAATACAGGCTACAGAGATGAGGAAAAGATCACAGAAGAGAACACGAAGACGGGTAAATGAATCCAAAGGAGACCTAACTAAGGAGCTGTTTTTGGCCGTAGGACAGAGGAGGACTGATGCTAGTCTAAATCAGACTTGGACCCAGGGTAAAGAGGCTCTATTTAGTCAGAACTAAAGAGGCTCTGATCTTTAGGACTCTGACTGACCCAGAAAACGTACGATCCTTCGGAGGAGGGGGTTGAAGTAACAGCAGTCAGCGGTCACTATGGTCTTCTCCTGAGCTCCCTCTGCCTTCACAAAGAAACTGGTCACTTCCCCGATCAGAATCTGGGACACAAAGAGAGATAAAGAGAAACCACAGTTATGTTGTGTCAAACAGAAAGCTAAAACTGTGTGGTTAAGGATTAATCAGCCTCACTGAATATTCTGTCAGTTAAATATGGTGCGCAGCAAAATTATTCATGAGTGTTCGTCCCTCATCCTTGCAACGATTACATTTCTCCTTGGCCAGCCTGCTTTATATTTCCCACACCATTTGGCTGATTTTATGCTGCTTTAGTAAATCCCAGCATTAACACCTCCCATTCACTCATCAGTGGGAGTTTGTCGACCTAATGTCTCATAGCTCTTCTATCTCTCCATTTCTCTTTTTTTTTTGTTCTTACACATTTACTGCAGATCCATAAAACCATGACAACACGTTGATTAAAAATGTCATGCAGTTTAATAACCTCAAAAAACGAACATTTGGTATCTTATACTACCTTCATGAAAGATTCTAAATGTATGATTAATGTTCCACCCTCACCCTGATGACACGTCAATAAAAACTCCATTACTTTTTTATTATTATAGCCGTAACACATTTTGAAGACCCATTTAAAGAGGACAACCCCGAAAGCCTCTGGCAGACCTTTCAAAAGCCCTTTTAAGAGTTTAAAAAGCATGTCAAATCAGCAGGACATTGATCTCGTCTGACAGGGGAATGAATCTACTAAATACATTTTTGGACACCCTGCATACTGAACCTGTCTGATCATAGGACCCCTGCTGACAGAAGCATGGATAGATGTAGGTTACATGCTCATACAATATGGATGGCTCAGAGCTAGGAGCGTGGGACGACGCTAATGCAGAAAAGCTCACTGTACTCCGTGTGACAGCTGAAGGCTGAGGTTTACACTAGCACCGATATGGGGGAACCACCAATGGAGGGTTCAGGGGGAGTTGTGTGGCTCGTGTGTCAACATCAATTATATCTTTGGTACTCCAAAAATTATATCTTTGGAGTATGACGCGACCTGAGTGCTGAAAAGCTTTACTGAAGTGATGTGTGTTGCTGAACGAGACGTCTTTTCAAGGAGTCCGACACCCCCAGGGCGTCAGACATCAACGCTTGTGGAGTGGGCGTTCTCAAACCGACGGAAATATATGTGAAGATACCACATAAAAAGTTGCACACAGCATCATTATTGTGAAGCCAGGGGGAATATGTGACTAGTAAGGATGAGATCCAGTTTTCGCTTTATATTGGATGTGTGATTTTATTTGCCTTGCGCTGCTCAAATGTAAGTGTTTGCATATATTCACAGTTCCGCCTTGTACAAGTTCTTGCGCTCTAGAAAGTCTAATAGGCCGGTGCATTGGATCTTTAGCTCTGCAATGAAAGCACATTGAAATGTTGTTCTTTTGTACACAGTGAAGACTTCACCTGCTAAGTTATTGCCCACTAGTCATATTCTGCCCACACTTCAAACTAAAGAGTTGTTGGGTTTGCAAAAAGGATTCAGAAAATGAGTAATGCTGCTATACTTGACATACTTTCTAGATGGAGGAGTAGCAAATTGCAGGGACAAATGTGAAAGAAGCAGCCCCTCACAAGAGCAGCCGGACATAGTGTTTAAGCTATTTTTTTTTAAATCATATTAGCAGTAAACTCATTCAAAAATAAATAATTAAAATGTTCTTTAAAAGACATCATATAATGTCATGTAAGAATCTGCTTCAATGTTCTGCTCACAGAGCAAACACAAGTTGGAATTTGCTTTATTTATTTCTTCAAGGAGATTCATGTGTAGGGAAATGAATCATTATTATCCCGGGAGTTAGTGAAGGTTCAGATCCTTACTAGAGGCACTTTGGCAGAGCTGGTGGACGCCAAAGATTAGGCAGCTGGATTATTTGCAGCACATTTCTTCCCCCAGGGTGCACTGAAATCACTCCCCATAAAAAAGACTCCAAAACTGAAAGAAGGAAAAATAGCTAAATTAATTGGTATCAGGTATGAATGTATACTAATGTAGAGTTGTAAAAGCAGTCTTCATTACATGCAATTGGTTGATTGTATGTTGATTGTTGGTAATGGAAAAATTAAAATACAAGCGTTTTTACTAGTCCACCATTATAGCTTACACTAATAATCACAGTTTTAATCCTGCCATGTTTGACACATTTGTGTTCATTCATCCTTCTTGCAACACCAGAGTGTGAGACGGCCAATGTCAGTCCTACAGAAGTTGCAACCTCCGGTACTGAAAAGTAAAGCCTATGCCTACTGGCCTTTAACCTGAATTTTCTCTGATAAGGAAGTGACTCAACCAGTCAAATGGTAAACAGAAAATGCCCCTAATACTAACTAGATTTTATTTCCTCAGTAAACATTTTCCCTATGAGTTCATAGTCTCGAGAACTAGTTCCAAGTCTCCTTCAATACAACATGATGTTCATTTTGTAAATGAGTGTCCCATTTATTTTTAAATGTATAATTAAGCAGGGTATGCTTTAGGGCGGGGCTTCCCTGTGATTCACAGATCAATACCAAGATGTTCTCAGGTCTGGGTGTTACAACTTTAACGCTTTCAGTTCATGAAAAGTTAATTGTAATGTTTTGGTTTCCTAAAAATATCTTAATTAGCATTTGGTTGTACTAAGCTCCACCCACAAATGACAAGCATTGGATATTACGTCAACTGCCTTTTTACAATATATGTTTCCATAATGCAACCTTTCTATTATGCAACAGGGAAAGACTTAGTACATGATGGCCTTAAACAGAATATACTGTACAGCAGGTACTGTGAGCAAATGCACCTAATTGTCCCACTTAGTAGTCTATATGTAATGTTCAGTGGGCTGCTCAAACCTGTTGAGCCCTTTTAAATACTCTGCCAGCGATAATAAAAGCAAAGTCTGAATGAGTTTCATTAAGAGCAGCACTACAAAAGTAGGTCTTACATCATGTGGTTTTAACACATTTTTAGAGAGGCTGGTTCAGAGCTTTGGGCTGCAGGAAACGAGAGCAGTCTTCTTTTATGTCGTTAGATTTAGGTGTGGTATAACATTGATCTAATCTGTGGGTTGTACCAGAACATATGTAGTGACTGAGGTGATTATATACTGAGGTAACAAGAAAAGATTAAAACACCACGAAGAAAGTATCATTGCTGTGTTCCTACAACAAAAACATGATGACACATTTCTGTACAAGATTGACATGTGGTCTCATCTTGGCTTGTATTAAAACTCCTACAACAGTTACTGTTACAGTCCTAATGTATTCCTGGGAGGTGCTCTTGTGTATGTGAGTGTAGGGGAGAAGAAGAGTAAGAATATTGGAGGAGACAGTAGCCACTGATGATAGTCAGCCAGCAGCCAAGGGGGAATACTAAGATTTACTGATTAAAGAAAATAGGCTGATCGCAACATAACCAAACTATCAAAAGGCTTTCAATATTAACAAATCATAATAGACTTTCAACATTTTACAGGTCTCTATACAGAAAATAAACTGTAATATTGGTGTGAAACAACCTTAGAAACATACTATAAAAGAGGTTTAGCATTATAACCTTAAAAAGGACGATCTCTCTGCAGATGGGCAGGATGTGTGATGGACACAGCTGCTGTAGCCACAGACCTAATGAACACCCTCATGTACTCATTATCTGCAGCACATGTGCACACATGTACAATGGCCAAAAGATGAATACACTGTGGTCATGTTGAAAAAAGATGAAAAGCTAATGATGAATTGTAATATCTGAATCTGATTTAATTTGTCTCTATGGTATATAATTTTTAAGCAGCTTCATCCCGCTTCTGTGAGACTCCTTGAAACAATGAAGGCACAATGAGTGGGATTTGTTGGGTGGGTAAACACAACATTCAAAGATGGCACCTCCTCCCTCCTATGTTGCTCGCCAGAGTGGAGAAAGCCAACTTCTGCTGTATATATTGATTGTTTATTTTTAAGGAAAATCATACTAATTGTGCGTTTAATTTGGGAAATGTGTAGAGTAAGGACTCCATCTCTTGCACTTGCTTTTGACTTGATTATTTGGTTGCAAAGCGACGATTAAATATTTGCGAGAATAAGCAGACTCATGATTTTCATCCCAGATTTAGATTTGACAGCTTGGCCTGTTTCCTAATGAGTCCTTAAAGGCATCATCAAAACAAACTGAATTCAGAGAGACTGAAAGGCAGCCAATCGGAGGGAAAGAAGTTTGTAATGTACATAACTGCACAGTTTTCTTGAATATGCAATATGCTGGGGTTGGCGCCGAGTTGTTGAAACATTAATTTGAGGGTTTACATTTTAATTATTTATAATTTCCCTTTAGAGTTTGTGCTGTATCGTATAAAGCTATAATTACATCTGACACTGAATGGTCTGACGTGTTTCTCTCACCAGAGGCGTAGCCATTAGGGAAGCTGATGTCCGATCCTTTATCTCTACTCAATTTCCTTTTTCAACTACTCTCAGGCAACGTGCTCACATCGACATTCAATGGTGATGAGCTCCTACTGAGACATTTTTGATCCATTTCTCTAACAGCCATGTTTGCAAAAGTATCCTGAGTCAATACTAATCATGTTCATGCTGATCTCACTAAAATGCTACTTCCTGCTGCTCTGCTTTAATCACAATAAAAGGTATTTAATAGAAGGTAATATAAAATGTATTGACAGCACTGGGTTTAAAGGTCCCATGTCATGGCCATTTCTACTGATCATAATTCCATTGTTGAGGTCTACTAGAATAGATTTATATTGTGCAATTTTCCAAACTCACATTGGTTTCTCATACAGCATCTCTGTATAGTATGTGTATTCACTCTCTGTCCTACACGCCTTGTTGGAGCTCCTGCCCCCCCCCTCCCTGTGAGCCCACTGTGCTCTAATTGGTCAGCTCGCCCACTCTGTTCTGATGAGTCCACCACCGTTACAGCGGAACATCAGTGATTATGTGTTACAATGGCGTTAGCAACCAGAAAATGACACCAGTAATGACAAACAGATGAGAATGCTGCGTGGGGTCTGGGTGC